AATAACTCGGTCAAACCACGAAATATTCTGGCATAACTCAGCCGTGACGTATTGGTATTCCACTGCCAAACAGAAAATTTGAATATTTGAGGGTTTAGTTATACGAATCAATTCGAACTCGTTTGAATTATTTTGAATATTAACCGTTGGCGTGTTCATGTGAATATGGACCCATTCATTATTGGCGGTTCCCCATAAAATCACTTTTTGTAATTTCGATAATGATATAATAAAGAATATTAGTATGTATGTAACCCATCCGCAAAGCTTTTATAACTCAGCCACTTCTAAATTTATTCACCAATACAAGACGCCGTCGTTTGATTAGTGCTTTTTAGCATACACGACTATATAGATTTAGTGCTTTAGTGCCCTACTAATTGAAGACAAGATGATGGCACAAAGATCTCTTTTCCACGGCGACTCTAGTGTTGATGAGAAAACGGTTTCAGAAGGAAATGAGGTATTTATCTCGACCATCTGAATAGTACAAATCGTTAGCCATCGAACTTGGTGTATATCATGTTTGTGTTAATGTAGGAGCTCGATCGTATGGAAATAAGGATGACAATGAGGTACGGTAAAAACAGGAGGCGAGATAAGGGCATTCCGATCGAGTGTGATTGCAATGCTAAGGTTGTCGTTGCCACTTCTCGTGATCCTGTTACAAGCGGAAAACTTTATTTCAGTTGTCCGTATGAAATATCAAATATAAGCATCTTTTTTGAGTTATGATTCTTTATTTTATTTCTTTTATTTTTGTATCCTTATGAATCAACCTCTTATTTTTAAGGGTCCCGGTCGAGGCTGCGGTTTCAAGAGATGGTGGACTGTTGGATTGTGTGACGAGTTTGACATGATAAAAGAGGAGACGATTGAGATGAAGAAGGATCTGGAAGCAGCCAATAAGTGCGTCGAGGCTCAGGCGGAAAAGATCTTTTTTATGGAAAAGAAATTTAAAACGCTAGAGAAGAAGTATGAGAGCTTAAACAAGTATTTGTGAGCTTAGCTAAATTTGGTTTTTTTCAATTTGGACTCCCTTGTATTGTCAATTTAATTAAATCAGCCAGTCTTCCGATTTGTGCGATGATAACTCAGCCATCACGTTATAATAACTCAACCAAACATCGAATTAATCTATGATAACTAAGCCATTACGTTAGAATAACTCAGCTATCACACACGAATAACTCAGCCATCACACACGAATAACTAAACCAAACATCAAGTTAATATACGATAAGTCCGCCTTAACGTTAGCATAACTCAGCCATCACACACGAATAACTCAACCAAACATCAAGTTAATCTACGATAAGTCCACTGTAACGTTAGAATAAACTCAGCCATCACACACGCGTGAAAGAGAGACAGATTATGAATCACACACACGAATAAAAAATAAAAAATAATGATATAACAGAAAAAAACATAGAAGTACTGCAATTAAATAACATAAAATAAAATACAAATAACATGGAGATGTAATTTTGCTATGACCAAACAATCACATCCATCGCCACCTTCATTCTTCATCTGATTCAAAACTTGAACTCTCGGTTGATCCATACCCCAGTTTATCCCAATCAATACTAATCACCTTGAATGCATTCTTCTCCTTGTAAGCATTGCTTACCTACTCCTCCACTTTCTGGAACTCCTCCTCCACGTTAAATCCGTCCTTCATCCTCTTAATTTTCCTTAGGAGTTTAAGTTTCACTTCTTTCTCACGCAGTTTGAGATCCAATAATTAAGTATTCTTCCTTCATCTCTCTTATGTTGCATCTGATGAGAGAGATGATGCCTTTGAAACGTTTCTCCGTTTCACTTAGCCTTCTGCTGGAACCGTCATCCACACACGGCCTCTTGTTGGAACCGTCATCCACACACGGCCTCTTGTTGGAAGAGTTTCGTTGCTCAGAGATTATAGAGATTATTTGCTAAGAATCGAGAAGAGAAAAGACAAGAGAGAACCAGTGTATGTATAGTCCTCTAACGAAGTTTGGGTTCTTTGATATCAGCGATGTTTGGGTCCTTGACTATTGAGTCATATTTATAAGAATGTCAACCGGTGTATGTATAGTCCTCTAGTGATGTTTGGGTTCTTTGATTACAGCGAAGTTTGGGTATGACAAGTCAGCCACCACGTTAGACTAACTCAGCCGCAACATCGAATTAATATATGATAAGTCAGACGTTATGTTAGAATAACTCAGCCATGACATGATTTGTGCGATGACAAGTCAGCCACCACATTAGAATAACTCAGCTAAACATCGAATTAATCTACGATAACTCAGCCATAACACGAATTCAGCGATAATAAGTCAGCCATTACATTGATTTAACCTATAATTAACAGCGTGCATTCAACTTCATAGATTCATACAAACATAATTCTGGTTATCAATCCTAAAGCTTCAATATTTAGTACAATCACATGCTAAAAATCCCAAAAGACACTGACATATGTTCGAAAAAGCCAATAACGTCTCTAGAAACCGTGCAGGGGTCCTTTTCGGTGCTTCATCGAAGATCTCTGCTACCATCTTAACCCGTAGAACTTGGATATTTGCATCAGTAATGACATCAAAAGAAACACCAAGCAATAAACATTCAAGAATCTTTAATGCGTAAACGCCGCAGTCCCCTCTGATAGTATTTTGCGGGACCTTTTTCTTGTCCCTCCGCCAGAATGAAAATTGGTCGTATTGCGGGATACGGACTTCGGAAGGAATCAGTTCATTCATTATCTGTGTAATCATCCTCGTGAACGGCCTACAAGTGATAAGGTTCAAATTTCCCTAAGAACTACTATCTCAAATAAGAGATCAATTGTAGTATTTAAGGATCGAATTCACAAAGTTCTTTTGTTCAAACAATGAGTTCAATGTCAAGATTAAGCTAGCATGTGATGACTGAAATAATAAGTAAACAAAGTAAAAAGACAGCATGTTGATTGTGTTGTAAACGATTAGGAAAAGACCTAGGAACAAGATATTCTCAGGAAACTATTGGTTAGTAGATCTAATGAAAGCTAGGTTGTTATCGAACCAATCTTAAACTAAAACTCTAATTATGGAATAACCGGTGGTGTTCCGCGAAAGTCCCTATATCTATAGCTAAGAATAACCGGAGAAGCTGAGAGATTATTAACTTAAACATGCATTCTAAACGAGTTCGATTGTTCACCTTAGTAGATAGACCAATTCTTATTACACACCTATAAACCACGCTTATCAAATAATAGATCAAACTACAGATACCTATTGGTGGGCATATCTATTGTCTGGATTCAAGATCTAGTTAATTACTCTAGATCTAGCATTACGCATAATTAAAGATGAAGAATTCTACAGATAACCTAGCAAAGGGGGCAATCTACTAAACCATATGAATCCCTAATGAGAAGCCTTATTCCTAACAAGCAGATTACTCAGACATATTGATTGAAACAAACAACATAGTTGAGTATGAAAGCAAAAACACAGCAAATAGAATAAGGGAAAGAAAAGATCTCTTCACTAAATTAAGAACTAAATGAATCTCTGAAAACAATGGATGAATAGCTTATGTCTCTCTGTAACAGGGTTTCGCAAAAAGCTTGATAAAAAAAACTAGGGTCTAAAACAATGTATATAAACCCTATAAAACGTCCAAGGACTAATAATGCAAATAGGGAAATCTTCTGGGGCAAACTTCATTTTCTGTAAACTCGTGTGACGATCGACACTCTGGCTGATTCATGAATCCAAAATCGTCATTAGCTTTCTTTTCCTTAGCTTTTGCTCCAAAATGTCTCCTTATTTTCATTGTTGTCCCATTGCATAAAATCCCTGAAAAGACACTAAAAAAGATTCGAGAAATAACATAAAGACTCAAAATCCTATACCTAAAACGTAGATAAAATCAGTGAAATTAGGGTTATATCATTAAGCTTCCAGCATTTTTCCATCGCTCTCTTTTGTATGCTCTCCGACGATGCAATCATAGCAATCGATGTGAGACCTAAGCAAGTTCACGTGAAGGATCACCCAATGATTACCTCCGGTTTGGTGGATAAGATACAAGTGATCCACATCTGTTATCCACTTCATCCGTGTCGGGACTTCTCCTCCCGTACCGTTAATCCATTGTTCATATGCGGTGTCTTTGAAAGAAAACCTCTTCGGTTTGATCTTGAACCCAATAAATCGTGAACCACGGGTCTAGAATCATGACGCGTTTGTTGTGGTATGGGCAGGGATCTCGCTGGTGCCTCAAGGCGAGGACTTTCATATACGCAGCCATTTGCTGTACAAAAATAAAACCAACCCAGACAAAACACATCATCAACTCAGCCGTAACCAAGTAAAACTCAGCCTTAACACCTAAATAAATCAGCCATTATCTACTTTAACTCAGGCAGAACAATACCATAACTCAGACATAACCAACTACAACTCAGTCTGAACACCAGAATAGACCAGCTATAATTTATTTAACTCAGCCTGAACAACACGATAACTCAGCCATAAAGTAGACAAACTCAGACAGAATATAACAATAACTTACTTTATCACCCAACCATCCATAATTTGAATCTAGCCAGAACTTTCTTTTGGTCATGATAACTCCGTAGAAATCAACCTCGTCTATTCCAGTGTCCAACGATTTTTTGCTAACAAATAATAAAAAGTTAATATACACAAATAGTGTAAGCATGTCGTACTTAACAACTTATTAAGGTATAAAAGGCCATACCTGTCGGGACTTGACAAATAATCCTTAAGTTTATGCAATTTGGCTAGATCAACCGGTGTCATAGGATCATAGATTCCTCGTGAAGGCAGAGAACCCTTCATCATGCAGCTCAGCCTGTTGTCTCCAATTACTGGAAAAGTCTTAGTGGTCATTTCATCGAGTTGAATCAATAAACTCCCATTTGGGGCAAGCTTAACAGTTTTTCCCCTTGCAACTTTTACTCTGTGCAGCCTCATGGTTTCCTCCTCATCTTAATTAGACTCATGCAGCATGCGATTATCTTCAGCTACTCACTGGTCAGTAACATCAAGTATAGAATCATCATCATCTACCCTCTCACCGTCAGCTTTTTCCTTGGCTTCCTCAGGCTTAGTCTTGGGAACAGCAGTATCACCGTCAGCTTTTTCCCTGGCTTCCTCATGTGATTTTGGCATTTTTATTGTCACCTTTGGAGGCACCTTTCTAGGCACCTTTGTAGGAGCCTTTGTAGTAGCCTTTCTTCCTCTTTTATTTGTGGCGGCTAGCTCTTTCACAATTAGCTCTTTTAAGATTTTCTCCTTAACTTTAGCTTTCTTCTTTGGTGATGTCTTCGCTTTGGTATTTCTCCTCGCCGGCGTCGTTGAGCGTAAACGGCGGGAACTAGGAGACTTCTCAATGAAATCAATATCAGCATTGTTTCCATCAGTGGTCTTAGCAATTCGCTATCAAGATTCCTACTAACCTCAACCTCAACAATATCAACATCCTTCTCTACCACCGAATCTACAACTTCTTTCTATTGCATAAACGTAAAGAAAACTCATGCATTAAATAACGAAAACTCAAGCCTATGTATAAATATAACTCAACCGTAACTAAATAAAAAGTTATAACTCAGCCGTATAATATGAAGATAACTCAGCCGTAACTAAATAAAAGTTATAACTCAGCCTTATAATATGAAGATAACTCAGCCATAACTAAATAAAAAGTAATAACTCAGCCATTAGCTTACCAGAGGAGGACTATTAACATATTGGTTATTTGTAGGTTTCCGTGGAACTTTTGGTGTCTGTTGAGTTTGGGGTTTAGGGTGGCCTTGCTCCTCTTGGGTTGAAAACATTTCTCTAATAACCACTCTAGAGTTTAATGTTGAGTATGCTATGCCAGTTTGGCCAATTAGGCTTACCCCAATGACCTTCAGATGCTCTTTCATCTGTTTGACCTCATTCTCAATAGATCCAAACCTTCTTTCAAACTTTGCATCAATCCTCTCTTCTACTTGATCTCCAATCACCTCCCGACGGGAGGACATTTCTTTGATGCTTTTATCAGCGGTGTCAAACCTTGAGTTTAAGGGAGAGATTAAGTTGGACACCATATCCACGAACGACACATCTCCCCGAACATCATGCTCATCCTCGTTCTCATCAGATTCGACAGCTATTTCCTTATTATTCTTCTTCTACTTTTGTGCATCTCCTCCACCAGCTTGAACACCCTCACTGTGAGAGACTTTCTGCTTCTTTGCAGGAGATTCAGACACATCCGCAGCTTTATCTTTAACCAGTTTCTTCTTCTTCTCATTCGTCTTCACATCCCAATAACCTTTAACAAGCTTATCCCCGTGTATGCCTTCGATCAAGTGATCGAGTGCTAGGTCTTCTACTTCATCTGGCCAAGTATGAAACAGCTCGCTTACATCATCCTTCATAACCATTTTATGCACACGCAACTACAACACAAGAGATAATAAAACCCATCAGTATGTTTAACTCAGTCGTACTATAACTCAGTCGTCACAGAACATAACTCAGCCATCACATAACATATTTGACAAAAACAGAACATAACTCAGCCATTACAGAACAGAACTCAGCCATCACAGAACATAACTCTACCGTCACATAACATTTGACAAAAAATAAAACAGAACTCAGCCATCACAGAACATAACTCAGCCGTTACAAAACATATTTGACAAAAAACAGAACATAACTCAGCCATCACAAAACATAACTCAGACGTCACATAACATATTTGACAAAAAACAGAACATTAACTCAGTCATAAGAGAGCATAACTCAGTCGTAACATAAATATTTGATAAAAAACAGAACATAACTCAGCCATAACAGAACATAACTCAGTCAATAACTATCATAACAGAGCCAAAACCTTACCTCACCACCATGCGTTTTGATATCTTCAGCAATGGCCGATTCAATTGTTGCACGGATACGGTTGCCACCCCATCTAAGCAATGGAATCTCATCCGCTTTGACTACGTTCCCAAATTGCTCACCAATGGTGATGATTGAATCATACGCCCAAGCCTGCAACACGAAAGCCATACCAATGATGGTGTATGTCTTGCCAATAGGCCTCACCAACTTTATAGAAACAATAAGGGCTTCAAATGTTGTCCGACCCCATGGATAAGTGTTCAAGGCTTCGTCATCAAAAACTCTTTTGGCACTCTCAAAAGGTATCCTAGAGTTAGGATGCAAGCCATAAAGTCCAATGGCTAGAAGACTCAATAACCCAAACAATTTACGCTTTCCAGGAGGCCATACTCTGCCTATTACTAAGGCTCGCCTAAGTTATTCTAACTTAGGACCTTTACCGGTTCGTACACCCAATTCACTGAAGAACGCTTTGTAGTCCGCTTCAAGCTCAAACTTTTCTGTAGGCAGTGGATCTGTGTTTAAACGCGTGATATGAGAAAACTCGTTCAAGCCAAACCGGATGGGTTGACCAGCCACGAGACACCAAAGCTCCTTCTTCAGTACTCTCAACTGTCTGCATAGTAGATAATGTACAGTCTTACAAACCATACAAAATGGCTATAAACAAGTTTAGCAATTAATCCAAGCGGTGTCTCTTTCAGTTCATCCCATATATCTTGTCCTATTGATTCTCTAATCGTAGGGAAATCTCCAAGCTTGATGTTGTGATTAATGAATTTAGCCTCCAGATTAGAATCCCCCTCTTGGTAAAGTATTGGAGGGTAATCTCTTGCTTGATCTTCAAATATCTGAAAACCATAAATCAGCCGTAAGGATACAATAACTCAGTCATAACATAAAACAATCTCAGCCACAGATAACATAACTTAGTCAAAACATAAACCTAACTCAGCCATAGATAACATAACTTAGTCAAAACATAAACCTAACTCAGCCATAGATAACATAACTCAGTCACAATATAAACCTAACTCAGCCACATATAACATAACTCAGCCATAACATAAACCTAACTCAGCCATATCGTAACAGAAACTCAGTCAAAACATAAACAAAACCATAAAATAAAAAAATCTCAGTCAAGACATAAACCAAACTCAGCCATAGCATAACAGAAACTCAGCCATACCATAAACAAACTCATCCATATCGTAACAGTAACTCAGCCACGGATGTAAGGTTAAACCATAACTCAATCACATCATATAACAAACTCAGACAAAGATGAATTGATAAATCATAAATCAGTCGGCAAACAAACGGTAACTCAGCCATCAAATCAAATAGATCTAACAAATTGGCCACCATATGTCAATCGACGACGACGTTAAAAACCATCGTTAAGCATCGGAAACGATTTCAGTGACGGGAATCACTTGCGATTGAACTAAGATGTCGGATTCTTGTCGGAAAATTCAAAATAAAGTTAGGAAACATACTTACCGGAACTTAGCCAGAAGCCAGAAATGAGACTCCAAATGTCAGATGTGACTTCCCGAAACCAGAAATGCGAATCCGGCGTAAGAATTTCGGTCGGAACAGACGAGAACAGCAAAAACGGCGACGGAAATAGGGTAAAGAGTTTGTTCCCGTCGAGAGAGAAAGAAAGCGACAGGTTTTTTTTCCGCTGATGAACAGTAATGCTCAAAAAGAAAGAAACCGAAACATTTATGCGATTTGAGATGAGTAATAATGTGGATTATATTAATGACATGGATTGATGACATGTATAATCAGTGTTTTTTATTTAATATTTAGTTAAAAATGAATTAAATAATTATATTTAATTAAAACTGATCAAGGGTGTTAACTGTAGTTACACAAGTAGTGAAAACATGTGAGTAATAAAAAAAAGATGTATGTTATTTTAGGAATAAACATACAGTTATTTTCTATCTGAGTAATTCTTTCTTTTTATTTCTCTTACTTAATTTAAACATGTTTAAATTTCAAAATAATTAATCAAACAGTGTTAATACTTAATAGTTCTATTTACATAATCAACTACTTTGTTGAAATGCATATACTATATATTTTATATTATTTACATTTTTCTATTGAAAACATACAATGCATTAAATGTATAAATCTTTGTATAAAAAGCTTTCTTATTTAAAATTTTGAAATATTTAATTTTGACAAGTTTAGTTAATTAAAATAAATGTATATAAAAACTAAAGTGTTTGGAAATAAAAGCATCTCCATCGGGTAGATATTCTTGCCAGTTTCTAAAAAAAAAAATTATTATTTTAATTATATATTATATTTTAGTTAAATTGTAATATTTAAGCTAATACCCTATTGACATGTGGTGATTTTGTCAGAGAAAGGTTTCTCTTACTTTCTCAAGTGAGAGACTCTTCTTTCCATCTCTCCTACTTTTTCATTTTTAGTTATTATTTTATTATTAAGTTTCTCAATGAGAAACGCTGATGGAGATGGTCTAAGGATGAGAATAGAGAATATGGTTCGTTATGAACTCATCTAAAGAGAAAAAAAAATCCTATTCAAGGTTTTGACAAACAAATTTGTCAAAAAATATAGACGGAGGTCCGTTGGAAATTTTTCGACGCAGTTCCAACAAAACTTTCCGAGGAACCCAATGGTCGGAAAAAATCAGAAATTTTTCAACAAGTTTTCAATAAAATTTGCATAGAAATAGTGAAACAAAACTGAGAAAATTGTTTGAAAATTTTAACTATTTTCCGACAAAATCATGGAAGGCCTAGAGAATAATAAACAGAGTTATGAATGAAACCAAGAAACACAAGCAACGATTACAAATAAGTAACTTAGGGAAAAGCTGAAAACATGTAGCTTAAACGATAGAGTGGACACATAAGAGACTGCCAGAAAAGCTTCAAGATCTCATGACGCATAAGAGACGATTTCAGAGGTGATAAGATCCATAAGTCAAGAAGAACCATTTCTTACAATGTAAGATTGATAAGAACGACCACCGCTATATTGTGAACTCTGCGATTTCCATCCTCATGTATATAGTCCACCCTCCACTCCTAAAAGGTTTCTCATACCTATAAATTCCTTCGACAACTTGATGAGCTGGTAAAAGAAAGATAACCTCGGAGTTATATGTTGCTC